GGCCTTCCCCGAGGGGCAGGGCAGGAGCCTGACGAGAGGCTGTGGGCTGCCTTGGTGGGTGTGAGCTGCTGCAGCCCTGAGGGGTCCACTGGCACTGGAAAGCACAGTGCGATGGAGCGCCTGCTCCTCGGGGGTTGTCAGGGCTGGTACCTGTCACTGTGTGGTAGGTGGGTCAATACGCTTGTTAACACATCTCTGGGAAACTGGCATGCCAGCACGTCAAGCAGTGACGGGAGGATTGCCTGAACTGATGTGCTGCTGCTTTTCAGCTTTCTGCAGAGGTACCCCAGAATCTCTGGCACCTGTTGGGAGGACAGAAGGAGAAGGAGACAGAAGGAGATTTGCCCTGCTGCCACTGAGATTACTGCTCTTCCCAGTGCTCTGGCTTGACTTAAAGTGGCTACGGATGCCCAAGAGCATCTGAGTGCTTACTTCTGTTAGCCAGGTGCCAGGGTCTTTCAAAACCATATCCAGTATAATCCTGGCATACTCCTTGTCCTCAGAGCTGCAGTCAGCAATGGTCTTATCAAGGGTTATGAGGACGATGCCTGTAATCTGAGGAGTGCGGAGGAATCTTCTAAGCAGCTATGGTAGGAGGGAGAAAAGGGAGGGAAGACAAGTCAGACTGAGTGTGAGAACATAGTGTGGAGGGAGAAGACGAGAGGAAAAGGGCCAAAGAAGACACTTGCTTCAGGGCAGAAACATGCTGAGGGCCCCCACCTTGTCTCTCAGTGCCCAAGCTTGTCTCTCAGATACCCCTAAGCTGTAGAGGCAGCTCTGGGATGCAAAAAGAGGAAGAGGGAGCAGGCTGGAATGTTCACGTCTCCTTACCTGCTGCCTGAAAGTGCTGGCCATGAAACCGCAAAGCTTCCAGACCTGCTTCATAGCCCTCTCACGCACAATTCTGGCCCCGGAGAAGGTGAAGGACAGCAGCAACTGTGAGGAGAGGAGCTGCTGGTTAGCTGGGACTGCTGATGCCCACTCCAGCAGAAGCAGGTCTGCCGAGCTCCTGGCTGGAACCACGGCATCCATCCAGACTCAGGCACCCTGAGCTCGAGCCAAGCCCATCTTGGGGCTACTGCCACTGGGGCCGCTTGCCGGCTCCAGCTGCTGCCAGTGCCGTTTCCAAGGAGAGGGCTCAAATTCTACCAAAGGGACCTCTGGGGGCAGAGCTCTACAACAGACAGACCTCCAAGATACTCTGCAGCCAATTATTGACGCTGCTGATGGGATGGCTGGGATGGCTGTCTAGCATAATCTGCAGCATGTTGTCCATAGCATTCAGGGTCTGCAAAGAGAACAGTGGGTTTTGTGGAAGTCTTTCAGAGGTCGCTCTCACCACCAGGAGACTGCTGTGAACCCCTCTGGCTGCCAAGGAAGGACACTCACACCCAGGGGCTGCAGAGCCGCAAAGCTGCTGTGCACAGACCAGGCTTCAAGCACAGAGTGTTGCCGGGCCCAGGGCGTGAGAGGTAAGGAGTGAGGGGCAGCAAGGGCGGGAGCCTGCCCTGCAAGGATCTTTCTTAACCTCTGGACACAAAGAATCCAGGGAGCAGCCCAGAGGCCTGAGGTTCAGTAGTTGCACCTACTGGTACGTACATGGTTGTAGAGGCAAATGTTCAATTCCCTCCTTGGAGGAAGGTAGAAGATGACACTGCAGCACACGTTTAAGAGATGTAGCATTTCGTCTTCTGCAATTGCGTTCACTTCACTGCAAGTAG